TAAACAGCGATTGACTCACCCGAGGAGGTATCGGTCTTCCCAGATGGCCTGGAGGAGGATTTTTTCTGTTAGCCTTCCTTGGTCAATTGCAGGGAACGAGGGTCAAGAGACACAGAGAACGAACGTTGCACTGGATGGCCTTGAAGCAGAGATCCTCGACGAACTCCTTCTTGAGGTCCTCGACGACCAGCTTCTTTGCACCGACGGCGAGGGCCTTGCGCTCTGCCTCCTTGAAATCCTCAGCCTGGCCGACATCGGCGAGGAAGCAGACGACCTCATGGCCCTGCTCGAGGAGCCAGGCGAGGATGCAGCTGGTGTCGAGGCCGCCAGAGTAGGCGAGGAGGACTTTCTCTTTCTGAGCCATTGCAGCTGTAGCTAGTGAGCGGGTGGGGTGAGGGGAATGCCGGTGCCGGTGGTAGATGGATGTAGACGTAGGGTGTTCAATTGAGCAGAGCAGAGGATGAGTCGAACTGGGTCCGGAGAGGAGGGGAAGGAGGCAGCTTTATATCTCTGCGCCGTGGAGTACGAAGTAGTAGCTGTGACGATGACGCTGGCTCGCAGTTGAGTCGACGAAGCTCTGCGCCCTTCTCAAGACAAGCTCAACAAGTTTCGTCTAAGGCTCCCTTTGTTTTTTCTTTCTTCGGGCTCCTTCCCCTTGCCCGCCGTTGCCCCTTTGGGAAACGCCCTGCGAAAGTCAAGTCACGGGGGCACCCCGCAGCACGTGATGTCACATGATAGAGTTAGGGCTCAGTTAGAGTTAGCCCTAACCCTCTTCCGTCTTAGCTTTGCTTATGTCATCTGAGGCGTCCTCCTTTCTTTTTTTCCGTTTTCTTTGCTTTTTCCCGCTTCTTCAGCTTCCAAAACATCCAAACACAGCTGGCATCGCAACCAGAAAAACGCGCCGCGATGCTGCCAGGTTCTGGCGGTCGGCGAGGAAAAGTAGGCCATCCAGGCTGATGGGCTACAGGTTTTTTCGTCTTCCCGTCTGCCCAGCTCCTGACCGTCCCTCCTCGCCCCAGCAGCTACTTCAGGCGGCCTGCTCGCTCCTCGTCCTCGTCGTCGTCGCTTTGGCTTTCCTCCTCTCGCTGTCTCCTCTCTGCGGCCGACGTCTCTTTAAGCTCCCCCTGCTCATAGCTGATTACTTAATCACGAGGGGCTTTCCTATTGGCCATTCTCACCCGCGTCGCGCTTAGCTAAGAAGGGTGGCCTCAGCTTAGAGTTACGTAAGCATGCGTGATCTTTCCTACGCCTTTTGTTTTTCTTCTTTCGACGCTTCCTTTTGCCTTGCTTGTTGTTGTTGCGCTTTCGTCTTACTCGTTTGCGTTGCTTTTTCACGTCTCCAAGGCTTCGCGTCGCCTTGTCTGGTCGTCTGGTAACGCAGCGCTGATCGGTATCTAGGCCAGCGCTTCTTGTTCTCGCCGGCTTGACCGCCCTCCAGCAACGCCAACCCGGGAAAACTCTCTTTCCTTTGCTACCATAACATCCATTCGCATTTACTTCGACGGGAGTCGGCTCTCTCTCTCTCCCTCCCTTTTGCTCCTACGCCGGCCTTCCTCCTTCGTCCCATCACCATCCTTTGTCCTTCATTTCTCCCAGTGTGTATCGCACTTCTGGGAGAGAACACGCGACACCGACCTCCGCGAGGCGTAGATCGACCGGCAGTTCCTTTTTCGCCAGCGACGGCCGAATATATAGATAGAATTCTACTCTCTTTCCCCCTCTTCTTCCTTCTTCTTATCCTCCTCCTCCTCCTTCCTCTGCCCGTGATATACTTCCGCAATGAGCCTGCCTTCTCTCTGACAGCTCCGGCCGAATATGCAGCCACAATCCCCGGGCAGCCCATCACGGAGAGTGCAATAATAATGAACGCCAATAGCCCTAGCTACTCTGTTCCTGGTCCGCGAAGACACTCTGTCGCGAAGAGCCAGAACATTATTAGCCAGGGCCCCAGTTTGCGGGAGGTAAAAAGCAGCGACGAAGTTCTTGCTCAGCGTCGCAGAGGCCCCTCCCATGGTCGTCAGTTTACTGTCGCCAACGTCGGCAACAATGGACGGTTATATCTACGGTATGTTGACCTCAGCCTTAGCCCCGTCGAAGAATTGTCCGACTCTGGTATACATTCCCTAACACTTATCCACAAACAACATATCAGGCCAATCACCAACAGGTCCTACACACCGCATACCTTAAGCCCAGCACCGAGCATACCGGAAATAACAGCCCCCGGCCACCGGGCGAGTGTTTGGTCAAACTCACAGTTCTCCTACCTCGTTGATCCGCCGGATACAACCTCGCGTGGACCTGCACAGACCTACCATCACCTCCGTCGATGGAAATCCTTACCTACCATAGACGATGTCCCGCCAAGTCCTACTCGCGGAGCACTTAAAGTGGTCATTGAGGGGTCAGAGCCAGTCGAAAAGACACCGCCCAAGCTACCCGGACCAGCTCGCAAGCTAGAAGACTTTAAATTCCCAGAGAAACATGTCTCTGCCTATCGACCAGCCCCTAGGCCTCCGAGGTTATCCTCGCCGATATCCATGGACAAGATGGCCGGCTCTTCCGTGCATAAGGCCGTCGTCGACAAGGGAGCAGGTCAATCTGTCTTTTACAAGCTTCAGGAGCCTATAGAACCCTCTATCTTTGATGACCTGCTCCCCATCATGCATGATGCTTCTGTGGTTCGATACTCAAAACAGACCAAACAGCTATCTGCCGCTACGCCCGCCCGCATTGTCGCCCAAATATCGTCTGAATCGTTTATGGACTACGAACTTGTCTCGGATTTCTTTCTTACCTTCCGCTCTTACCTCTCCCCTAGTAATTTACTCTCTCTTCTCCTCGCCCGTCTGGAGTGGGCCATCAACCGCCGTGAGGATGACGGACGCATTATCCGCATTCGTGTCTTTGCTGCTCTACGCCACTGGATCCTCAACTACTTCGTAGATGACTTCGTTGCCAGTGATAACCTGCGTGCACAGTTTTGCTCACGGATCAATTCCCTGTATGAGACTCTCAAACGCCGCAGCTCCCGTGACGTTAGTGATACCAAAATTATCCTGGACTTGAAACGGTGCTGGAATGGTCGCTGTGCGCAGTGCTGGGATGATCCAGAATTTGTCAATGATCCTCGACCAGAGGAACCCATTGTCCCCGGCACCACTAAGCCAGGTTCTAGGCCTAACGGAGACGGACTGTGCTTTTCATACTCCGAACTCGTTACCCAGGATACGCCTGCCAGCCAAACCCGCAAGGGCTCTTCAGTCTCAGTGAATGACTTCAATAAAAGCCCGCCACCTGCACAACCCGCTTTCAACCAGGCTATCTTCAATATCCCTTCTTCGCGCCTCTCATTGCGCGGCAACAGCGTCTCCAACCAAGGCCGAGGAGCGCACGTTGCCCCGGACCCCATCCCCAAGCTAAACGGCCCCTCTCGTCCCCCAGCCCCGCCTAGTCCGCGCTCTCCAATATGGCGCTGGCCCCTGCACTCTCACACTCAATCCTCACACTCTCATAAACGCAGCGGAAGCTTTTCGGATTCATTTAGAGATGACCGTGCTCCTTTACCACAGGCACAGTCGAATCTTAATATCGAAAGCGGTGCTGCGGGACTGGGTTCGCTGGGCCAATTTCCTGTTGAAGCTACCAATTCCCCAGGAGGTGTCAACATCAGTATCATTCGTGGCAGTATGCTCACTCCTCTAGAGCCCGATGTCCCAACCACACGCCCACTTTCACCACCGCCAGACCCTTCTATGCCTCGCTTACGGCCGCCGAGCTCGTCTTCATTTTTACCCTCTGCCTCGGTGGCCGCTTCTTTTTCTCGTTTGGAGTCTCCGACCAAGACTGCACCAGGAGTGAAAACATTCATTAGCTCTCTCCGCCGCGTTCTTTATAGTAGTGCTTCTAGTGCCGGTAACGCCTCTAGCAGCACCGTGTTTAGCAAACCGGAGCCGCGCCCTATCGTTTCAGCTCATGGTAAAACATCCCTCCTCCCCCCCAATGTTGTCTTCGGATCAGATAGGTACCGCGAGAAGAGGCCTGGGATAAAGAGCCCCTCACGAATCGACGTTCTATGTGATAGAACTTACCAATCTTATGGGACACTAGTAAACCAAACACCGTTAGCTACCTCCGCTGCCCCTCGCAGCCCAAGCCCGAAAACCCAACCACGGGCAGAAATACCCGCTTCGGTACCTGTTCCCAACTTCTCACGTGGAGCTTCTAGTCAGATCACGACGGGCAGCCAGTCCATACTCATTGTTGATGATACCAGGGTTGGTACAAGTGGTGGCCTTTCTTTACTCCCTGAGGAATTCCAGATGTATTATCCTGGCTCTGGTCAAGCTGATCCCGAACCAGAGATTGATCCGCTTACTCCCATCCCCTTGTCTATGCCCGGGAAGGACAAGTTAGAAGTGATGCCCATGTCAACTCACCATGAGAATGTCTCCCCCAGCAAGCCAGGCTCCAGATTACGCAAATATGCATCCTACCAAAGTGTGCTAGGCGGCCATGGCGGTCAACGACCTGCTTCAGACATGCTCAGGACTACTGACAAGACTGACATGGGAGCTTGTAGAGGCTCCTTTCTACCTGTACACATGCCCGTGGCTAGGGGCATGCAGCTCCCAGAGAAGAGGCTTCGAAGACGTCCTGGTGGTGACTTGCGCAAAATGCAGACCACCATGGGCTCTGAAGAACCGGGATTGAACACTGATCCTGATCGTGACCTGAATAAGTTTAGGTTTGCCTCTAGTACCACTGCAACTGACTCGACGTCCTCTGCATTATATATAACCCATGCATCCAATATGGACTCCATTTCGCATAGCGAGGACTATGATGACGACGATTATGATGATGACGATATCGATTTTTCGACTTCTTCTAGTGCGTTAGATTCACTTAGTCGTAGCGGTACGCGTTCTCATTCTTCACCACAGCCGCCTCATGCTAGGCACATCTTCGAAGATGCAGTTGCTGGCTTTCGGAAAATACCCGATCTGCCGGACGGGAGTATCGAGTCCGCTTTGCTCAAGCTCGAGGGAAGGTGGAAGGGGGATACGGTTGCTAGGCCAAATGACGGCTCTTCTGCTGGCTTCTCCAATACTGCTAGGCGGGAATCTCGTCAAGCTCACCTTGATGGGCCTACAAACAACCAAGGTGTGAATGTTGGTCCCGAAGCTACTGCATATCCCGAAGAACCAGCAGTCGGTAATACCAATGGTACTGAGTCGTATCTCGGATCAGATTACTCATACTCCTCTATTCCGCTGCTGGAGCGTGGCTTAGGAGACGAATCCATGAAGACACCTACAGTTCCGAAATTTGAAAATCCTTCGCCCTTAGGCCAAAATGTTGTCTCTAACCATCCCTCTATCGAGGTTGTTGAGAAGACAGCTAGCATAAATAGGATTATTCATGGTGCTACTGCGCCAGAGCCGATAGGTGATAAGCACATAGATGACAGCGTCTCTGAGCTTTCGTCCGAACTCTCTATAGATGAAGGACCTACCAGGAAGCCTTCAGATCCTACTCACCCGCTCGCTGAACCGTCCATAGTAGCGTCTTCTTTCCTCCAGCCAACTCCTTTACCGCCATACCATCAATATCTTGACCCTCCATTTCCAAACCAACATCCTGATTTCCCACAAAATTTTTCTCGTCCTCGCAATAACTCTCACCCATCCATCGCTCCCACTACTCCGACCCACGCAATCCATGCTCTCCCTAGCTCTGGCCATATTGCCTTTATTTTAGCCCACGACTCGCAGACGCTTGCTAAACAATTTACCATCGTCGAACAAGCTGCTCTTAGTGAAGTCGACTGGAAAGACCTTGTTGACATGCGCTGGACGCATTCCTGCCCTTCTCCACTTAACTGGGTTGACTATCTCTCTGCCGGTGTTGATCGTAAAGGCATAGATATGGTCGTCGCACGCTTTAACTTGATGGTCAAATGGGCCGTATCAGAAGTCGTGCTCACCAAGAACATCACAGAGCGTGCTCTGGTGATCACGAAACTCATTCACATTGCTGTGAATGCAAGGAAGCTGCGTAATTATGCCACTATGTTGCAGATGGTCATTGCCTTATCATCTGTCGACTGTACACGACTCGTTAAAACATGGGAGCGTGTACCAGAGACCGAAAAGGAGATACTGGCTGAAATGGAGTTTTTGATCCAACCAATCCGCAACTTTCATAAACTTAGGTCCGAAATGGAATCTTCCGTCCAAGACGGCTGTATTCCCTTTGTTGGTGAGTAAATGCTTCTCCACCCAGTCGGGTCTGATTTTCGCTTGATCAGCAATGCTAACTGTTGCGACAGGCCTCTATGTGCAAGACTTGACATATAACGCTCAAAAGCCAGCACAGATCGCCAGCACTCGCGACGGCGAACCACTGGTCAACTTTGAACGTTATCACACTGCCGCAGCCATCGTGAAGAGTCTTCTTCGCCTCATTGATGCAAGCACAAAATATGTTTTCGAGCCTGTCCCTGGAGTTTTAGAGCGTTGCCTATGGATTGCTGCCCTAGCAGATGACGATATCAAAGCGTTCAGCAAAGCGATTGAATAAAACGTTCTTCCGACCAGCGGCTGATTTTGAAAAGCGAGCGAGCGAATCGATCTATGACCCGTGAAACCCGGGTGTTTCACATATCTAATTACCATTTAATCTCCCATTATTGGCATGTCCCTGTCATCTAACTATCAGTTATCTTTTTTGCATTCGGCTTCAAGTTTATATGCTTAGTCTCTTTTCCCCCTCCTGCGCATCCTGGGGTCTGGACCTTGGTAAACATCTTATTTCTGGAGCATTGGTGTGGGCTTTTGTCTTCATTTCTTGGTCTATGTTTGATTTATTCTTATTAACTTCATATTTTATTTGTCTTTTGGCCCAATATCTGGGGACTGGCACGGCGAGGCAGCAACTTGAGCGTGTTCTCATTAATGGCTGTTTTTTTTTAAATTATTCCCTGAAGTGTTGGATGTATGAATCTTTTCTTTTCTTTTGATAATGAACATCAACGTTGCTTATGATGGATCTGGTTGCTATCTGCCATAAAAAAAAGGGCTCGAAACGGCTTTGTTTTGGATATAATCGAAAACAGAGGGTGAATGTAATGCTTCTTTTCTTCAACTGTTGCACCGACTCGCTTCTTTCACCTGTATCCTCCGTATCATCCGAGATGTTGGTTATTTCTGTAGAAACGTCATCTTGGCCATGCAACTGCTGGATCTAAACTCCACCAGGAAAAACATCCGTCTGCCTCGTTATTTACCCACAAAGCATCATCAACCTATCCAAACCACCAAACACGCCAGCAATCTAGCACCAGCTATAATCCCGAACCCGATATCTCAGCGTCACCATCCTTGCTGCCATTTACGGTTCCTGTCCGCGTGCTCATTCGCCCTAATGGACTCAGATGCTAGTTTCCCCCGCAGTCTAGGATAGCTTTTTCTCCCTAGTGAGACCGGTTGCTTCGCATAGTCATTTGCTTGAACCCGCCGGCCCTTCGACAAACATCACTGCTGGACTGGAAGAGGGCAGTACAGCCCATCTAAATGCGATGGACCCGGAGGGCCAGGACCATGACCTGGCTCGGGCCCCTTCTGTCAGCGTCACGGCTGCCGAGCACGAGAGCAGTGGTGACGAAGGAGTTGAGAAACCCAGAACGCTACCTCCCGACTTACCAACCTCGCTAGACGACCGGCGCTCATTTCCGAGCTATAATTCTGAGACCGAGATATACGATGGATGGCAGGGTGAGCCGCTCTATTACTCTCTTTTCTATTATACAGCTGTTCATTGCGCTATCGAGATGAGCTAACGGATTTGAATTCCTCTCTGAACAGGCCAGTCGCAATTTCTCACCACTCCTATGCCTACAAAACCCCTATCATTTAACCTAGCCCTTGATGATATTAACTCCGAAGAAGACTTCTACAATCCCCGACTCCCGTCTCAGAGCCTGACGGGTGGTTCTCGACTACGTGACAGACCAAGCGAGTCAAACGATGCCCGGCTGATGGAAATGTTGGCTGCTCAGGCGGCACATCGGGATGGAGACAATGTCGAAGCGGACGAGGACGATATTGTGTCTAATGAGAAGCTGTCTGAGCAGGAGAAGAAGGAAATCCTTCAAAGAACCCTGAATATGGCGGCAAGTAACGGGGATGTCGCCCGGGTCAGAAAGCTAGTCACCGGCAAGGCAATGAAATACATCGATATTAATGCGCCGGACGAGGAGGGTACTGCACCATTGATATATGCTAGCTGTTTTGTAAGCACCCATCTTGTGGAATTGCTTTCGTTTTGAATCTTCCTGCTAACGTGTTGCACCGTTTCAGGGTCATCATGAGGTTGTATCTGCTTTGCTTGATGCGGGTGCATTTGTCGACCAACAGGACCGCAATCAATGGAGCGCTTTAATGTGGGCTATGACGAATCGACATAAAACCATTGCAAAGAATTTATTGGACCATGGCGCGTCACCGGACATCCGATCGTCTTCTGGCGGGACAGCTTTCGACTTCGTTCAGCCTGGAACAGACATCTCCAAATACCTTTACGAAAATGGCTATAAAGTTGGGTCTACAACTGGCGAGGCCGACTTTTACGACTCAGGATTCGCACACAATCGATTTGAAGAGGAAATGGCCGAAAACGAGATGAAGAGAAGGATGATGATGGAAGAGAGTGCTATCAACCTGGAAGTTGATTTGTCGAGCTTGGGTCTTAATGAGAAACACGACGACGTATGATTTACATCTTAATTGATTGAGATGATGGGTGCTAACGTTTTGCTATCATAGTCACCTGACGAATATGAGGAACAACCCGAATTTGTCTGGGATCGTTGCCTGAATGACCAAATGTTTGTATTTCAGGAGAACGAGTTGGAGCGAATATTGGATATTGTTATAACCAATATGACACCACAACGGTCTCCTTCCCAAAAGCCTGTTCCCGCAAATTTACTCTTCCTTTGCGCACGATACGCGCACTATTATGCCAGCCCTGACCTCCTGCAGACACTTCTCCATTCTGCAACTGATCGTATCAATCGTGTGGTAGAAAAGCACCAGTGGGATATGACCATACTGGCATTCTGGATATCAAACGCCACTTTACTACTGCATTACTTAAAGAAGGATGCCGGGCTGGTTGAAGCTACAGTGGAGTTCCAGCTTCATCTCGCAGAGTTGATTAATGAAATATTTATCCTTATTATCCGCGACGCTGAGCGCCGCATAGATAAAATTTTGGACACCGCAATGCTTGACCATGAAACAATACCCGGTTTTGAAGATGTTCAGTTCCAAAACGAATGGAAGCTTTTCAGAACCAAAACAAAGGTAAAACCAGAGCCTATGGAGAAACGATACCGGCCACCATCGCCCAAGAAACGGGCAGAGATTGCACCCCGGAATGTGACATCTCTATTATCGTCAACACTCTTTGTGCTAGATCTATATGATGTGCACTCCATCATCACAACCCAAATTATAGCACAACTATTCTACTGGCTTGGATCCGAACTTTTCAACCGTATAATGACTACGAAGCACTATCTTGCGCGCACTAAGGCTATGCAGATCAGGATGAATGTATCCGCCTTGGAAGACTGGGCACGAACAAACAACCGGCAACCTGAGCATTACGAAAACGGATCCGCGACCTGCACTGGAGAAAACACCGTTGAATCCGCTCGTAGGCACCTTGAACCGCTCATCGAACTGCTACAGTGGCTACAATGTTTCTCGTCGTTGGGAGAAGATATGGACTCACTTATAGAGACACTCGAGCAGCTTCAGCGCCTCACGCCAAACCAACTTCTTCACGCCGTAAAGCTCTATCGATCCGAGGTGGGAGAAAAGGGCCTTTCCAAGAGCGCAATGAAGCTCCTTATCTCACTGCAAAATGACCCTTCTCAGTTACGGCAGATCCTCGATCAACATCGACAGCACTCCAAGCCCACTGGTTCTCCAGCTACAGACCAAGGGAAGGATGAGACAAAGCCAACCGAAGAACCACAAACCCCTAGGACACCTAGAGCATTACAACCCCCATCATCACCAAGCGGATCTAACTCGCCCGCGCCACCCCCATCATCACAAATAACCATCCCCAAGAATGCCCCACTCCTTCTTGACCCTTCACTCACATTACCTTTCCAGCTCCCAACCAGCACCGACATGCTAGTCAGTTACGGAGCCGGTTTTGGTGGAGTAAACCGCGAGCGTGCAAGGAAATATATACCTACTGTGCCTACGGAGTTCCTCGTCAAATTCGATCGCGAGTGATCAACTCATAGCGCAGTTATATAGCCTGTGTAACTAAACTATCCAAATATTTTCATAAATAAAAGCAAACTTGAACAATCGGGAGCTGTGTTCGTTACTCGTTGGTTGTACATACATCACGCATATCCAACTTCGTCAGTTACCGTCAATATTCGAAACAAACGCATGGTTCCGCTGAAAGTGCTAAAGATAAACACATATGGGCTGAGTCAAGATCTTGCATGGCTTCTATTTTTAGACAAGTGGGCCATAGAAGGGAGGCTCTGCTCTTGAGTTTTGAAACATCTGCATGGAACTTGCATGGATGCTTCGGTTCCCCAACCAGCCCGACCTTTCCGGGAGCAGCGTGAGAATAGTGAGTGGCTTATATGCTGACATATGTATATGCATCCTACTTAGCATTATTTAACTGGCTTAAGCCCAACCGAATCGGAGATTCAATCCTGGTCTCGATCTTAAGTTCTAGTTCCGATTGCAATCTTCATGCATGAGATGACCCCAAACTTCTCCATACTTTTGTGTAAGAAGCGTGCGCTCAAGTTCTGCTTACTGAAACAGAAGCTGACTCCTATTAATAGCTCAAATTTATTGGGATTGTATATTTTGTTTTCCTGGTTACTTCTAGAATACTATCGGCTCCAGAATCATTCACGAGGATGGCTGTGCTTGAAACAATTGTGCATGCCTGATATATATTGGCGCCAAAGAAATGCAATTAACCTCGAGGCGTGTATTCTGCCATTACTTAAGAGTAAATATTTATAGAACTTCTTATAACCACTAGGTGGAGCGTATCGGGGTCAATGGATGTTAATTAGATATCAAGTGTTGCTAATATACAAGCTTGGAATGCATTAATAATTAATAATTTAGATGTCAAAATCATGTACATAACAGTCGTCCCATCCATATCCACCCAAGTTCCCTGTATCGCCGTCCCAACTATTATTATGTCATTAAAAATTAACTAGGAGGTATCCTAGATGTATATCTCGTAATTGTAATAAAAGACTGATGTTTCGTAGTGTTATCGATCGAGTGATAGTCATTCAGTCGTATAGTTAATAAATGGCTGGCTCAGCTTAACGGTTGGCAAAGTAAGAAGCACGAGCCGCGGAACTTGATCTCTTTTCGGCTGCCTTGCTCATTTTCTGTCGATGAGCTGGAGCGGGAGAAGTAGACCGGGACGAAGATGGTGTAGAGGAGGCTGAATTGCTGTGATGCTCAAAGTCCCTCGAGTTGCGGCGGGATGCATTGTTTGCTTCCATGACCATTGGGGTGTAGTGGAGGGTGAAGTCGGTCAAGTTGGCGGCCATTGTTGTTGTTGTGGTTTTTGTTATTGGCGTCTGGAATAAAGGATTAACTCTTATGGCTGAGTTATCAAGGCTGCGGCTGACGTTGTAGCTTGTGGGTCACGATATGCAGATAGATAGACCCGAATTGATTGAAGAATGATTGTTTTCGTTGTGTTTGATGTTTTGTTTGTTGTAGTTGTTGTTGCTGATGATGATGAGCAGAAAGACGTCTTCTCAGCAGGATTTGAGGCCATATTTATACCCATAGGCCTCGAGTTGAAGCCGTACTGAAAAAATTCTGATGTTGCATCGTACTGCCTCGCGACATGGGTTGTCCCATGCCCTTGAAGCGACAAGAAACATCGAGATCAATAATCTCGCTTCTCTGTCAGCTTCAACTTACGGTGCATGACGTCACAATCGCTTAAGTAAGCGCAGAATCTTCCCTGTCCGGCAGAGTAGCCAATACAATTAGGCCTTGGCAGCGGCTGAACGGCAGCGGATGTTAGTCAGCAGGTGCTTGGACCACGATCCGCGGAGTCAGATCTTGATTTCTTGATATCTTTTTCTTTCTTTTGACCAGGGCATCAGGATGATGACGATAGAATGGGAGCGATGGCCTCGTATCCCAACAACAAGTTTCACATGGCTGTGATGGAAAAGTTCGCTAAATACTACGCACACTTTAGAGGCAGTCAGCTGCCTGGTTGTGCACCCTCAGGAGCTTCTGTGCTGGAGCATCCTGACCTACCTATCTGAGGAAAAGGAGATTCCGAGGTAACATATTCATCGTTAGTCTTGTAATATACCCACCACATCCAGGTCCATTCCCCCCCCCCCCCCCCCAAATTACGCATATATAAGCCCATGGCCCTGTTGGTCCGACGGCTTATCCTGCCCTGTAACTTCAGTCATGGGCTGGCGGATAAGTGTATATATAAATACCTGCTCAAGGTGTAACCTTGAAATGTAGGTGAATCATTATACTCTATATCAAGACCAAAGCTCACCAGACGTAATTATACGCGACAGCACTCTAGCAGAATCCGAGGATATAGAACTTGTTAACCTTGCCAATAATGAGTAACTAGACGTTTTGGCGTTCTTTAAGTTCCAGCCATTCTGTTCATTTTTTTTGAGTATCTGTAAAGGGAGTGTTAGGCTAATTAGCTTCGGCTCAACGAATGAATACTTAGGCTAATGTTGTCTATCACATACTACTGATATTGCTGTGCGAATAGACAAGCTATCAAATTCCAACGGGGGACTCAATTCTCCGTCGAGGACCGTGAATCACCTCTTCAACAATGAGAGATCCAGGACCAGGCATCATGAAGGGCGCGAGACAAGTATTAAGCCACCAATACTGGGGGTATCATCAAGGACCAACAGTTGAAGCAGATCTACTCTGCATACACCATGGAATTCTGCTTTCTCCATTATCTCAAATCCAAGGCAGCATAGTCGTATATGCGGAGCGAGGCTCTATAGCCCCAACAGGCGAGCCCTGGCCAATTAGTGCATATCGCCTAGAAGAGTAACATCAATGATTGGACATCCGACGCCTGCTGGAATGGTTTAAATGAAAATCTGAGAGCGAGGAATACGGCCGCGGGAGGGCTTGCATGGTGGACATCGACGCTAGCTAGCAGGATGCCGGGAGAGGGACGATAACAACGAACAGAAGTGAGGGGAAAGAGAGAAGCAGCTAGTCTGAATGGCCATGGCGTCGCCCCTTCTGCCGCCTTATTATTCAGCGTGTTGCGTGCAGGAGGCGATCGTCGCATACGGACGAGATGTAACGGAGGGAGTTAAGCGCCGGCCCTCAGATAGGTCATGTCAGTTGGTCGGGGCTGAACAGCGGGCCAAGTTGATTTATCCTCGAAGCACAGCCAATCAACCGGTCCTATATCTCCGTGGGATAATGGCCTTGTAGAAGGAAATATGCTCCTTTTTGTTTTCTCGCGTAGTGGTTGGTTTCTTTAACTGCGGCCCGCGTCGATTAGGGCTCCAACCTTGTCTCGTCACAGACCCTACATATATTCCCTGAGTTCGGCGGTTAAGTACGAACAGGCTCATCTGCTTTGCTTCCGTTTGCCTCTTCCGCTCTACTTGTTCGTGGGTGTCGACGCCAATCACGAGCCGGTTTGTGTAGCTGGTTACTCTAAACAGGCAACTCTCACGAACTGCTGGGGATGCACGGTCGAGCGGCCCCCTGCCGCCCCCAACGGTGACTACATCCGGGCTAGAAAAGAGGCCTGCACGTTAATACGACGGCATCTGCTTATCAACAGCACATTGTATTCCCACAAGCGTATAATGGAAGGGGCGTAAACATGATGGTAACTGGTGATGTGTTTGTGTCTCGAAGTTGAGATAGAGTGTGAGATGAGGCCAGGCGGAAGAGGCTGAGTCAGCTTCTAAATATAGGCGGGGAGATCTGGAGATCAGGGTCCCTAATTTTTTTATTTTCTTATTTTTTTATTTTTTATTTTTA